TCTCTCTCTCTCTCTCTCTCTCTCTCTCTCTCTCTACCCCCGATGCAGGCAGTCCGTCGCCTCACATCCACACAGAGTTGTCACCCCGCTTAGTCCAAATATGCAAGCCAGGTTCGCCCATGCGCCACAGTCCGTCGAGGCCCGCATGTCAACCCCGCACACCCAGCAACCGTCGGATCGCCCAACTCTCACACTCACTCACCTTCCAACTTGCTCGTTAACCGACCCTCACTGATTGCGCTAACCTCGAAATTCTTAGAGAGCAAACTAATCGCGCTTGCAAAATTTATAGCATGCATACCTGSGCGAAAGGTACGGGATTAAGCCCAGGTGGACAAGAGGAGAAGAGAGGAAGTGCCTACGTCTGCATGGYCAGGCCGAGGCGTGGGGGTCGTAGCCACACTCCACGTATCGATCCGGTCATGCAGGTGCTCCGGCCAGTTAGAACCAMGTATGCGAGGCAAGGAAGAAGGACAAGGCGGGCAAACACGAGGAAACCAAGAAGAAACAAAGATACAGTTATAATCGCGTCCGCCAAAAACGACAATTACACAGGATTAAGGGCGCGATCCAGTCAGATCCCAGTTCTCAGCGCAGCAAGATGCGCRCAAGCGTGGCGCAACAAAATTCGGAGTACCTAAATTCCTAGCCTAAGTCCTAATTGCAAAAGGAAATTTCGGAGAAGTAGAAAAGAAAAACAATTCCGYGAGCCCGTGGGGGCTCGACATCAGTTGAAATTTCAAAAACGATATTCCCGCGCGATGATCGAGCCAAAATTCCCAGCGCTCACAGCAGAACAAGAAAAAAGTTATGGTACAGTTATTTCTCGCGCTTGCCAAGGCGCGACTACCCAACCGTTGRCACGKGATTTTCCCGACACCGATCCGACAACTCCCAACAGAAAAGGAAAAGAGACGAGGGCATCAATGCAATTTTCCCGCCCGACCCATCTTCCCACAGTTCACTCATCCRACCCGTCGTATTTCCCCAAGCAGCTTCGCGCAGGAAGTCACGYGATTACAAAAAATAGTTCGTCACATATGTGACGCCCAGGGGGTTCCAATCTTGAGCAAGCTCCTGTTTGCTTTCTCATGAGGCACCGATCGATTGGCCCGACGATCGGCGCAGAGCTGACACGTGCCACTTACCGTAGGATTTGAGTGTGGAAGTCATCCAACGTGGTATGTGTGCGCTCAATCCAAAACGTTGCCCAGGAATGGTAATCTGATAACGGGTGGAGGAGGTGGTGGATGGACTTGTGGAAGGGGAGGTATGAAGTGGTGAATCTCCCTGTCGCTGGTGGGGATCCGGGTGTAATGGACGATGCAGTGGATGCGGGGGAATCGGGGGTGGGCGCGTTGATGAGGGAGAGMGGCGAGATAATCGGGGTAGAGAGTRRAGAGGGTGCGCGGGATTGCTGCGAGGAAGCGCTCATAAKTTTCACAGGCGGGATTTGTACCTGAGATGATACAATAAACTTCTATATTATTATATTCCCGCCAGGTCACGCTGAAAAGATGGACATGGAGAGGAAAGGAGGCGACAAAGGAACGGGTGGTAGCATGCGGGACAACGGTGACGATAAGGCTGGTGGCGTAAAATTGGTGGAAGAGAGTGGGCGGGAAGAGGCATCATCCATCATAGAACGGGGGTCGACCCAGGAGTTGGTGGGTTGTGAGGACGTCAAGGGGACGGCGGGATAACGACCGGGGACGAAGCCCGATTGCCCGTATTTCCACGAAGGCGAAGGGTGGCTCGTGATAGTGAAGAAGACAGAACTGGGGATTTACTTTTTCTGCAGCGTCGGCTTCCTGATCCCTCCGTTGCGGCTCCATGGGATTCTTCGTGCGGCGGCTCYAGATTCAGCGATGGATCGCCCAGCAGCAGCTGTGGTGGCGGCCTTTCAGATTCCTCGACCGACYGCTTGCCCTCCGCTTTCTCTCGCCTTCGCTGAGCTTCAGGTTCCTCCTTTGCTCTGCTTCGCGGGGGATGGATGCTCGGTTCCTCCGATTCGCTTCCCTCTTCCTCCTCCTCTGACCCAATGTAGTCGAGATCGTCCTGATTAGTGTCCGATTCTTCTTCCTCTGACTCATTTCCTTCTTCTTCTTCTTCTTCTTCTTCTTCTTCTTCTTCGTAATTGGCTTCTATTGCGTTCCCTCGTCGGATGAAGGGGTCCCACATTGTGGGATCGGTGACGTCAATCTTGAGATAGAGGCTCGGGGATGGGTAAAAGCAGTTATCTCCGTCCAGCTCCGTACACATGGACCATAGCAGATGGGGCGCAAGCGTGCAAGTGAGCACGGCCGTCCCCAACTTCTCGTCACACCTCGACAGGATATCGAGGGGCAAGTCGTCCACTAGCTGCACCAARAACACCAACAACTCGTCCGTGATCGCTTCCAGGTGACCTTCCTCCACTTTGCCGAATAGTATCCCCAACAATTCTCCTTCCGTACTCGTTCGTCAGGCCTGCACGATCAACAGTTTCACCTCATCGTCCTGGACCTCACCCCCTTCGGCTTTTGGCGCTGGMTCCGCCCAATGGAACACGACGGATACCAAACAAAAGTTGAGCTCTACGTAGGCATCCCACCACTTGGTCCACTTGTCTTCRTCCAAGATTGGCACGCTAAGCTCCCGGATTCGGAAAGAGAGGGCGCGATCGAGAGCAGATTGCCAGAKAGTGGGGAGATCAGACGGGAGGTTGAAGAGGGAGAGACGATGATGGTTCATTGAGGCCAGTCAAAGGGGAGAATCTCCGGCGCGTTGCTGGAGGTGCGAAAGCGGAGGTCTATATCGTTTGTGGTCACGATCCTTTCCCCTTGTCGAGCCARTAACTCGACCCACATGGTTGTGATMTCCTCGGCCCAACCCCGCAACTGCCGATAGACGTCCTCATGAACCGCYGGGTGCARCGTCGTGATATCACCCGAGAAGGAAACGATGACGGATATGTGGCTGACACCGGGCGATGTCAGGCGCTGGAAAGCTGAAATCTCGGCCAGTACACGCGTCGCCCCTGCRTGTATAAAGTGGAACTYTGCTGCTGCRTRGATGGTTGTTGTGCTGACGAAGGCGGTGAATTGAAGGAGGTCGGGACTCAACCGAGGTCGCTGCACCTGCCGGATCGTCGCGATACGCCCCCTCGGGATCATCAAACGCTCATTGATCACTTGCTCCATCGAAAAATTCATGGCGATGGAGGCGGAGTCGAAGACGATGGTTGAGAGGGGGAGGAGGATTCTAGAGAGTCGTCGTCCTCGTCTTGGCCGAGGGACGATGCARACGATGGGGGAGAAAGGGAAGAGGGGAGAGGACGAAGGTAGGACACGTGTCGAATGATCGGACGATCTGATCGACTTCCCGACACCTCCGGYGCAAGCCGTACTKTGTTCACCCCTCTTGGACCTAGCTCAACCATGCGAAATTGCCCGAAGAATCGTGGCGCTAGTTTACCTTGGCGAGCGCATTTCCTCACCTGCACCATGTCCCCTAATTTATACTGAGGCCGAGGCCCAGCATTCCCATTTCGGGCCTCATAACTCCGAACCTGTSTACCGTGGGCCATTTCCGTCATTCGCTGTCTCTTTTGGGCTAGCAGGGGGAGGACCCTTTCCATCAACTCCAGATGGCATTGGGCCTTGTCCTTAATCGTTGCTCTAGTGGCCCGTCGYGGAAGGGTCGTTTCATCATTTAGGCTCGGGAGGGCTACACAGGCTATACTATTGGTCCGTAATTGAAAGGGGGTTAGGCCGGTAGACTCGTGAGGCGTTCCCCGATGAATGGCCAGGATGTGATCAACGAYATCASGCCAAGGCCTGGTATCTCTAGCGGCGATATTTCGTCGTAATGYAGTTTTAATTACCCGGTTCGCATTCTCGACCAATCCGCTCGATTGCGACATATGCGGCGCAATATTACGAATTGAGACTCMCTGTATGACCAGACTCCTCAGGACCTCCCCTCGGAATTCCCCCCCATTGTCCGTTAAGATCTCTTCCATATCCTGATGCATTCCGAGGAAACRGTTAACATATCGCRCGATCTTTGTCGTCTGTCTTGTCTTGCAGGGATATGCCTCGATCCATTTCGAAAAGTGGTCYACAAAAACCAAAAGGATTGAATACTCACAGCTATTCGGTCAAGGGGGCACGACAATATCGGTGGTATCCATGCCGACTCTTTTAAACGGTCGATCAACCACGGTATGGACTATCGATCTAGGCGGTTGAATCGGCACCTTATCAGCGGCGCAGAYGGAGCAGTTTCGGACGATGAATTTAACATCGTCGTGAATATTGGACCAATACCATTCATTTTTATCGATCGCCGCCTCCGTGATCCGGACGGCGAAGTGGGCCGCAGTCTCCTCGTGGGCCGACTTAACCAAGTCGTACCTCATGAACGGATGAGGCACGGACATCCTGATCCCGCTACCATCCGTTTTCCGCTTTTCTAACCGTCCTTCATTCCATTTATAGTCCCGTTGTCGGGGCAGAAACCCTGACAARGGTATCTGCCCGGTATTTTAAAATGTCGGACGATGTCCGGATTGGTAAACGGTTATCCCGGTTTCATAACTTGATGAGATGGGGTATCTGTCGAAAGTTATTCAAACTCAACCTATGACGGAGAGAGTATAAATTTTCAAACTTTAGTTCAGACGCTTGTGGCGTCCGAGAGTCGCGCCAATAAATGGCAATGCTTCGCTTTTGGCGAAGGTGCAGTGGTACACGGTCGCGGGATCACTAAATTCAAACCTATTCTACCAAAAATAATATTGTGCGGCTGTACAGCCACGTGATTCAGGGCCTAAGTAGGCTAAAAAGAGAGGTGCACCGGGTATAGAGCCACGACGTAGGGGGAATAGGAAGAAGGGTTTTATTTCCTGGGCCGCAGGGATTGATATCGAGCCAGGGGGTTGATAGGCCGTTGTCAAGGTCACGCGGCCAGCCGACAGCGCAAGGGCTTGCCAGCGAGCCTATTACACTTCACGCAGGCAGGATCTGCAGGGCCTCAAGCATGCAAGGCTTGCAAGGCCACATGTAGGGAGAATGGTTGGGGCTATCGTGATAGGAGCTAGCCCAGTAGGGTACGATGTCAGACTTTTGCCCAGCGGATACCGGGATCAAATCCAGCCGCACGCATCCTATTGGGCCAGCTCCTTTTAGAGCGGGCCAACCTTTTGGCGCGACCGTTTTCGGCCTTGCGATCGTTGAGATCGCGCAGCTGAAAACCTGTCTCTTATACACATCTAGATGTGTATAAGAGACAGGTATAGTAGAAACTATGGCTTTTCAGCCACATGAAGATGTGACTGTTGATATACGCCAACGGGGTATAACTAATATAAAAAAAAAAGAAAAAAAAAAAAGACTAAAACGAAGATGTAAGGCGCCWCATGGTGCCCTGAGAAGTGACCGGGGCATTTTTGCCCCAACCACCTCTGACAGCGCCCGTAATAACGGGCGACCGTTCGTCAGAAGATAAGTGYTTTTTCTTTTTTAGAGATTTGTTTTARATTTSTTTTASATTTTATTTTTTTGCCTTTCTTTAGATTTTGTTTAGTTTTTTTCTTTAGATTTGTTTTTTTTTCTTTCGTTAGATTTTGTTTAGTTTCGTAAGAAGATTAGCATGGCCCCTGGCCCCTATGCAAGGAATGAGCACCCGTTCATTTCATACGAACGGGGCAAAAAAAAAAAAAAAAAAAAAAGGAGGGTAAAGCGTGACTACGCCTGACTCGGACTTTCACCGACTCATTGGGAGGCTGAGCCTCGACAGCCCATCACAGGATGGGCGAAATTGGAATGCACTTGCCGCACASGGCGGCTACGTACGGGCACAACTGCGAGGGGCTCTCTACACYTTGCTTCAGCCTTCAGGTAAGTCGGTTCCCCTCCCCTGAACTTCRAAGTGGCAAAGARTTGCGCCCGTTCGTGATTGGAAACGGGTTGCAACTGCCTATGGTTGCCCGAACCTAGCACTATGAGTGTCCAGGTGCGGGCACGYTTGAAGGAGGCAATGTTAGAAAAAARAAGAAAGGGAAGAAAAGAGAAAGTAAGTTACAACCACGTACGTGGCCGCGGGCTTAGAGTAAATGCAGGGGATAGGCAAAAGAAGGAAGGAAAATAAAAGAATTTGAAGGGAAAARGGGAAGGAGAAAAGCCACGGCCGCRAACGTGGTCGCGGTCGTAGATCGGGTTCAGGGCTTGGAAGCCTCTGAATGCAGAGGTGACAACAGTCTATTCAGTTCAACACACTGTTGCAAATGGCTGGGTTCAACAATTTGCAATTGCCTCTGGCCTGGGGAAGTGGTCAGGTGCATAGTCAAGGCTTGGAACCTAGGAACATCAAGATTCTCAGCCCTCGATCGAAGTTCAGATCGAGAGTCAGGCTCAACCCCGTTTTTTGGTTGAGCCCCAAGTGGCTCCCCACCACTCCAGCCAACTATAAAAGCAGGTCTGGCCAGCAGCATCCTCACTCAGTTGAGGTGTTGCCCACATTCTGATTGAGTGTGGAATGGAGAGCAGCATTATGCTGCCAGAATGCTGAGGGGCAGTGAGTGAGAGGAGGAGTGGAGTGGAGGTCTGTAGTGAGAGAGGAAAGGAGAGGTTGCCATAGCCACCGTGCTGCGTGGTGCCTGCGG